GGGACAGCCAGCCATGATGACCTTCAGGACTGGCAAAGGTATGACAGATACATGCATCTATTCTCTCATTTTGTCCTGACATATTTGCAATCCCATGTAATTCTTTCTTCAGTAAAAAATAGTTTAGAGAATTAAAAAAAATCTTTTCCACTCAGAAGTGGGGAACATTTGCCTAAACTGACTGACTGAGCTCCTACATCCGCTTGTTCCTTGTATTCATACTTCCGTCATGATGTTGCAATGTTTCCCCCAGAAAACTTACTAAGCCTGGTGGTTATTGATTTTATTGTTTTCTGTGAAAAACGGTTGAAAACCGTGTATCCTATTCTTTCCACGTAACAGTTCTGCGCTTTTTTTGCGTCATTTGTGGTTTTGTGTGACAAATTGTGTGACATTTCCATTTTATGAGGCCCTGGAATCAATTTCACCATTTTAAACCCATTGTTCACAACAAAAAGAAATTCAATCTGCATCATTTCTTAAGATGACTTAAGGAAATATCTGTAGCACTAAGCAGTTTTTTTTTTCTTGTCTTCAGTGCGTAAAGGCTCCGGAGCGTCCAACGACCCACCAAAAACCCCTGCTGTTCCTTCACCAAGCCTCTCTCGTAAGCCTTCTACCTGCGAACGCAACAAATCTCTGCTTAACAGCACTAATGACCTCAAAGGCCAAAGCTAGGACTAACCTCAGCTACTAACCCTCTCCTCTAACAGTTTTCTCTCTTGCATTTCTGTCTGAAGGATGAGCTCTCAGTAAGTTGAGCACGTTGAGGCTGCATTGTTGTCCTGTGATTTATTCCCATATTGTCGCTACATATTTGACCCCAACCTACCCTCTGCAGCTCCCGAAGCTCCCGATAAACCCACCGTCTCCATGGCTACGGAGACCTCGGCGTACGTGACTTGGATTCCTCGCGGCAACCGCGGCTTCCCCATTCAGTCGTTTCGGGTGGAGTGCAAGAAGGTGAAGAGGCCCGGGGAGGACTGGGTGACGGCGGTGGAGAACATTCCCCCATCCAGGCTGTCTGTGGAAATCATGGCCCTGGAGAAAGGTTGGTTTGGAGGAGGGGAGTTATCGGATGTCGTTCCATGCAATTATGACGATGATGCCCCGCGTAATTACAGTTCCTCGGTCTGTAAATTTATCACCATAATGAGTATAGTTAAAGCCATTCCAGAGATTACTGCCATTAATCAAAACATAACTAGGTTACAATTAACACAACATTTGCTCTGAGAAAGAAAACATAAAACTACTTCACTCTGCCTTTTAAGTGTCTGAGAAGTCTGGGCCCGCTGATTGCGAATGTTTGTTCCTCTCCCTTTAGGTACGTCCTATAAGTTTCGTGTGGTCGCCGTGAACATAATCGGTTCCAGTCCACCCAGTGCCCCCTCCAAGGCCTACACTGTGGTGGGTGGGAAAACCCACGAGCGTCCCGTTGATGGACCTTACATCACTTACAATGAAGCCATCAATGAGACCACGATCATCCTGAAATGGACGGTATGTGCCCAAAGACATTTTGACAGTCAGGGAGGATCTGAAGTGTCTCAACTTAGCCAATTTAAGTCTGCAAATGTATTTTTATGTTTAAAAATACAGAGGGAAACTGGATTTGATACAAAGCTCATTGTGATCTTTACCTCCTTACTAGTATGATCCTGTGAACAACACGCCCATCTATGGTTTCTACATCTACTACCGCCCAACGGACAGCGATAATGACAGCGACTATAAGAAGGATGTGGTGGAGGGGGACCGGTATTGGCATTCGATCACTGACCTGCAGCCAGAGACGGCGTACGACATTAAGATGCAGAGCTTCAACGAAAAGGGCGAGAGCGAGTTTGGCAACGTAGTAATTCTTGAAACTAAAGGTGAGAGCATTTACAGAGGATGTTTGTTGGATTTTCTTGAACATGTAGCTATCAGCCTAAGATCTTCCTGAGCCTTTTCTATTTATTTTTTCCTCAGCTCGTCTTAACCCGCGGCCTCGGCCTCCAGAGCCTACAGATCCAGAAGCTGAAGCCCCCGGGGTGCTGGTGCCACGGCCTGGTGACCTCCCCTACCTCATCGTTGGTATTGTCCTAGGAGCCTTTGTCTTCATCATTGTCGCCTTCATCCCGTTCTGTCTCTGGAGAGCCTGGGCCAAGCAGAGTGAGTTTTCCCCAGAGATCCCCTGGTTTTTGATGACAGGCTATTGCCTTTGCACGCATCCTAATTCATTACTTCACTACTTGCAGAGCAAGCGTCAGACTTATGCTTCCCAACTGTGGCTGCTCCAGTGTCAGCTTGTCAGTACACCATGGTTCCTCTGCAGGGACTGGCCCTGGTTGGACACTGCCCACTGGACTCTCACATGAGTCCTTCACGAAGCGTTTACCCCGCCAACGGAGAGTACATCCAGAACGGAAAAGCTCAGCACTGCCTTCCAGGACTGCAGCAGGTGAAAACACTTTGCCTGAAGTGACATGTGGCGCACTGGAACAAAAATCAGTAATAGAATTTAAGGAGCATATTTAAAAAATGCACATTTAAAGGCCAGTGTCCACATACTGGTGAGAACGGTTAAGAAAAAGTTTGACAAATGTATTTATAGGATCTAACTGGTTGAGATTAGCTTAGATTTAAAGTAGAAATACTAGTAAAGGTGTTTATTTTTTCACCCAAATATCATATTCTTTTAAATAACTAAATGTTGGATCTCAGTCCAGACAATAAACTCAAAGCTAATTTTAAATTCTGGCTCAGGTTGTTCACTTGGGTGGGACAGGAAGGTGATTTATTTATTTCCCCCCCCCAAAACCATATGGCAATAGTTTCTGTTCTTTTTGTGTTGCTGACTAGAAAACTTTGTAACACTTATGCTACTACTTCTAATGTTTTATTTTATTGTTGAATAAAAACCTTCGTGTACTTTTACTCTGCAGGATGAAGTGGATTGTGACTTGGAGTGCAACACGCTTCTGCCACAGGCAAATGGACATCTGCCTCTTTACCAGTACTCCAGCAGGTTAATAACTATTAAATTCTGCCAATGAGATTTTATTAAGTAAAGCTAAAAATAAAAACATGCTGCTATCATTGTGAATGTGTGTTTTTCTCAGAGAGGTGGATCATCAGGAACAGAGCCACTGTTCTCCTGACGATGCCACTCATCAGCTTCTGGGGTCTTCCCATGAATTTGTCGGTTCACAGGAAGTAGGAGGCGGAGTTAGGTTTGGTGACGGCATGCCAAACATCAATCAAAGTAAGTGTGGATTCTTCTAATATGGAAGGAACAAATGTGGCAAATAACCCTTTGAGATTTGAGTATTTTTTTCCCCAATGTAGGAATCTTAAACATATTTTACCTGCTCTCTTTCATTCCTACAGAACAAGAACCTCTTCGTCTTTTGTCACTTGAGGACGACAGAGTTTTTACCTCCTCTTATTCCACAACCACAATGCAACAATCCCAAGATACAATACAGGAAGTAAACATCCTCCCAAATGAAGTGTCCTCTGAGAACATAGGGACGTCAGACACCACAGATGCATAACAGACTCTTAGTGGACACAGGAAAAGAAAGAGAATATATTTATTTTTGTATTAGAGTATTTATATATTTATGCTTTTGTACATATATTTGTGTTATTATACTGTATATGTGGGTATTTTCATATAAAACACAATTTATTCATATATCTGCTCACTCTACATCCTTGACAAGGGGAGTCTGCATTTCCACAGCGACTTCCATTTATTCCGCACTTCCATGTCCAAACCTCACCTGTTAATTCCTCACTTTGCAGACGTTAACCCCTTCCTAAATGTTCATTGTGTTTAGCTTTATGCAGACCAGAAACAAAGGGACCATTTCTCCTATCAGATGCTGTAATTATGAGGTGCTTGTCATCACGTTCTCAAGAACTGAAAACTGCCATTGTGTACAACTGTAACATAATATAATTTGCTCTTCATTAACAATCTATTAACAAGTGTATGCAATTTAAATAATTGTTTTCAGTAGTGTACATGAGATTATATATTGTGCATAGTTATTTATTTGTCGGAGTTTATGGTATTTTTTTTTTTTAATCATCACTGAATGGGAGAGATTCTGGAAAATAACAGTCATCAATAAGCTGAACTTTACTCTGCAGCAACTTCTGTTTACTTGTTCGCTGGTTACCAAAAGACTGCCAGGTGAGGAAGCTGTGACAGGTGTTAGTATTATTCCTTTCTCACTAGTCAGTGGAAAAAGTATTACATAAAAGTGATCAAAATGAAGGAGATCCTGAATCTAAACTCCCTAAAGAGTGCAGACTGTTTTCTGCACATGCTGGAGCACTATTGCATGTAAATAAAAAGCTTATAAAATAATTAAGGTTGTTCTGTTTCTTTTGACTAGCTGCAAGTCATTAGCCTATGTTTCGAGTAATAATATACTAACCACTTGATGTGAATTGCTCAGCCCAATCATTTTATGAAGGTATTTGAAATGTAGAACCTAAAATGAAGACAATCAATGGAAATTTTAAGTGGAAAAAGCATGAATCGTCTGCTCTTGGTTGCTATACTCAATGCCTGATATATTTGTGCCATACAGCATTCACAGCTATGCATTGGTGTTATTAAATAAGCTACAAATGGCATGTTAGCATAACATCAGCTAATCTATGTTGACAGCAGCTAAAATGCTGACATGTTAGCTGCAAAAAAAGGCAGGGGAATTACAAAGTTATTAGAACATTAGCATGTTTCAAAATGGTATATAAAAGCTAAAGTTAGGAAAGATACTAGTTATCAATAAGTATGCTAGCTAAAACAATCTAGAGATGATGGAAAGGTTTGTTCATCTGAACATTAGATTATCCTGGGCCTTTTCATTATACTGTTGGGCAGCAGTGTTATCTTCAAAGGCCAATTCATATCTGCTGTGATGCAGATCACTGCTGGAGTCTTCCTGCCTACTCAGATGAGTTAGAGTTTTGCATTTTTGAATACTAATTCTTTAAAATGAACTGGATTCTGAAAAGGAAAAAAAATCAGAAAAATGACAATGTTATCCTTATAAATTTTATTTAGCAATTTTATATTTACAAATACATAATCTAGCAACTTTGATATGAAATATTGGTATTTACAAAATAGCTCTTTGAAAAATCTGTACAGTATAACCTGATAAGTTAGTAAATTAAATTAGTAACTGTGCAGAAGGTTTCCTTTTGACCCAAAATTCAAGTTCTAAACTTTTATATTTTCTTCAGAACCAGTTTAACCAACATTTCAAAAAAGAGCATTCAGGACTTATTTTCATAAAATTCAAAAGCACTATAAAATTTTTAAGTGATTACTCTGACATTAGGCATGTCAAAAAAGGGGAAAAAAAACTACTGAAACTGAGTGGATATGTAAACAACAAATCCCCTCACATCAAGTGCTTTATGACTTCTTTAACATCGAAACAAACTACACATTTCAAACAGAAAATGCAATTGTTTGCTCTTGAACTACAGTCCAAAAAGGCATCACACTGAAACTCATCACACAGCTGAACTGCCATCATGGCCCAGGATGTGGCTGATGTTGTGGGCCGGACGATTGGGTTGCTTGCCAGAGTCAGCTGATGATGTGTTGGTGAGGGATAGCAGAGGGGACATCTGCATGGATGAGCCATCAGAGGGCATGCCGGTGGCGATTTCAGGGAACAACGAGGTGAGGCTGAAGTTGGAGATGTGAGGGGTGATTCCAGAAGATGGCATAGGAGGCATATCTGGAAGCAAAGGGAAACTGGCCTGACCAAACCCCACTGGTCGCGTAGGGGAGAGGATTGAGCTGAATCTGTTGTTGAGAGGAGGAGCGCTGGCCTTGTCGGCGCTCGGGCTTGTAAACATTTGGTTGGGAAAGTACTGGAGGGCAACATCACCGGGGAGGCTGGGATGGGCAGCTGGAGAGTAAGAGGGGTAAAAGGAGGGTAAAGTGTTCTGAGGCTCCACAGGGAGGAGGGACGGTGTGCGGGAGGTGCTGGGTTGGCTCACTGGAGGGATAAATGTAGAGTTTGCATTAATCGGAGGAGGAGGGTTCATCCCTCCCTCTGAAATAAAGGGGAACCCAAAGTTCTGAGCCAGGTGTTGGTCAGCAACAAGATTGTTGTCACTGGGAACCTGTGCGCTGTCTGCCATCAAGCGCACAATGGTGGTCCGGCGGTTCTCTCCCCCAGACTGAGGCCGGCCCAGCAGGACCCCTCCTCCTGAGGGCAAAGGTAGATGGCCCTCGGCCTCAAAAGGGTTGGTGGGTCTTTGCGCTCCCGATCGATGTCTCAGTTTGACGGGATGAGCGTCTCTGGGTATATGTCGGGAATGCTGGCTGACAGCAACAGGTGGTCTGGGGATGGCAGAGGATCGGCCGGGTTCAGAGCTGCTGTGGGGGGTCGGAGGGTGGGGCAGACCTGCTCGGATGCCGGGCCCTACATGCATATTACTGCTGACCTGAGAAATGTGGCCCTTGTTGGCCTCTGTGAGTCGCATAGCTGGGGCCTTCTGGGATTGAGGCACGCTCGGACTGGAGGCCTTGGCCTGGATGTCTCCTGATGAACTTCCAGGCATGCAGTTGTACTCCATGGTCACTGGGGGGCAACACTGAACTGCTCGCTGATGGTTGCTCTGCTCAGGAAGGTGGGGAGAAAGGAGGCTTTGCATGAAACTCTGGTGACAGCCTTCCTGTTCCCGAGGCAGCGCAGGGCCAACTTGGACTCCCTGAGGGCCGGGATGGGGTCCACTGTAGCTGCCACGATTTCTTACGTCTGCAGTGGGGCCAACGCTCATCCTGAATCCTCCCTGCTGCTGTCCCTGAGGGCCCCGCTGAGAGGGGGGTACCGACTTGGGAGCCATGTCACTCCCACGAGAGCCCTGAGCTTCAAAACTGCTGAGCTGATGCGTTCCCCCTCCACCAGCCATCGCCTTGAAGGACTGACACTCAGATATGCGTTGGTCAGCAGATGTAGAATGGTCAGATGAAAGACGGTTCTGAGGGTTGTGAACAATGCCAGCCTTCCCTCGCGATGTATCCAGGTAGCTGCGGAGGTCTGGTTGCTCTTGGGTGGCACCACGACCGGGCTGAAGATGGAGAGCCATGCGTTGTTGCTGATCCCCGCTAGTGGAGCTTTTACCGATGAGCGCCTCTGCAGAGTAGTTCGACACTCGGTGTCTCTCCTGTCGAGACGGAGCACAGGCCAGCTCAGACGAACGAGACACCGTGTTGGTGGGAGGAGAGATGAGCTGCTGCTCCAAGCTTCTAGCGCTCATCATCCTCTGCATAGCATTATGGTCCTGACCAGACTGCAGAATGACAAGTTAAAGACACAAAAACCTTTACTATAACAAAAAGAAGACAATAATATGTCATAAAATATTCCTCAGTAAAATGAAACAAGGATGAAATTCTGCAAATTATCATTTATCATCAATAAAAATGAGTTCAGTCGGCCAATTCCAGGGTTCCTTTACATTTTGATAGTTTCCTGTTTCGAAAAAAAGGTTATTGCAAATAAACTGCAAAAGAAAGAGAGCAAACAAAAGAAACAAGAGCAAAAGTGCTAAAGGAAGACAGCAAAAGAAAGAATGAAAGAGCTAAGAGTGAAAGAAAGGTTCTGTCATCTAAAACAAGCAGGTGCTAGTAGGCACTAGGAAGGTTTATAATTTAGAGGATGAACTTTAACAGCATTTCTTATTCAGATTCAAATAAATGTTCATACCCTACACATTACTAACATGCTACCCATACACACCTTGAGGTGGTCCTGCTGAGCCAGATGGCTGTTGTGATGGGCCCTGGACCCCACTGACTGGGCCTCGCATGTCTTGTCCTGATGCCTAAAGTGCTGCTGTTGAATCTGTTGCTGTAAATGCTGAGGATGTCTGGGATGAGAGTTCTGCTGCTGCTGCTGCAGCTGCTGTTGATGCTGAGTCTGGGGAGGCTGCTGGTGTGCCTGCTGCTGTTGTTGGTGTTGTGGATGAGAGGCTTGGTGCTGTGTTGGTTGTTGATGCTGTTGAGACTGTTGGTGGGACTGCTGTGGGTGCTGTGACTGCTGCTGCTGCTGATGGGAATGCTGATGAATTCCAGACTTTTCCAGATGATGTTGCTGCTTCTGTTGCAAGCCAGCAGGTGAGCCAGTTTGATTCCCTCTGACAATTCCCCGCTTCTTCTGGACATGCTGCTGCTGCTGTTGTTGCTGCTGCTGCTGCTGCTGTTGTTGCTGCTGCTGCTGCTGCTGCTGCTGCTGTTGCTGCTGCTGCTGCTGCTGCTGCTGCTGTTGTTGTTGCTGCTGCTGCTCCTGCAGCGCCCTCTGGTGTAGTGAGTGGCGCTGTGCAGGGTCAGATTGAGTCAGGTGGTGTTGCAGGTGATATAAATGGTGTCTCTGCTGCTCTTGTTGCTGCTGTTTCATGTAAAGGTTCCCTCCCAAATGCTGACTGGGTTGGCTAACAGAATGCTGCGGGTGACCCTGTGGCAGATGAAGGCCACCTGCCTGGTTCTGCTCAGGAGGACCTTGAATGGGGCAGTGACCATCAATGGGGCGCACTACTGGGCTCATGAAGGAGTTTGATGAGAAAAGAGGGCCTGCATTTTCTGAATTAATCCTAGTCATGACAGCTGCAGAGGTGGACGGCAGCTGTCCCAACATCATCTGACTGTGGTCTGGTGCTTTCACATCCATGTGGCCCACTGCGTTACCCGGAGGAGGGCAAGGCTTTGGTCGTTTTCCTGCATTTAGCATTGCTTCTTCTGGGGCTTGTCTTTTGGAAATGATCTTCCCATGTCGCTCACCTAACACACTTCCAGGTGGGCCTCTTAAAGCATTATTTTTCAAGGCAGCATACTCTACTACTTGGGCAGTGCCTGAACAGGTTGAGATGGCGTTGCTTGAGGGTTGGGACATATGAGTAGATGTCCCAGCTGGAGAGGGAGTTGACCCCTGCTGGGCCGTCATACTGGGGGAACTGGGATAGGGTTGGTGACTGGAGCTGGATCTTATCAGATTGTTAACACTAAGGCTAGTGGCTGTCCCACCTTGAGTTGAACTCTGAGACTGTCCTGGAGGGAGAGGTTGAGATTTTGAGCAAGCAATACTTTGCAGATGTCTGTTTGGCCCACTCACAGACACATCATGGTGTTTAGCCGCACCTTGGTCCATTAGTTTGGTTATCTTGCCTTGCTGCCCAGCTGAGCCTCTCTCTCTGCTGGAAGATACAGGTGGGGTTTTGGGGGAGTCCCATGTAGCTGAAGCAGTGTTGTCCCCTGAGCATCCTCCACTTCTTCTCTCTGGGCTGTCATGTTCTAGCATTGCCAACGCGAACATCTCCGCTTGTTCGGATGTAAACGCAAATGATCCAAAGGAGCTGGAAGACACACCAATGCTATGACCTGGAGGAAGCATTGATGCAACAGAGAATCCTCGACCACCAGCTCCCCCTGTGGTCATTGGAGAATCAGTCTGCCTGTTGGATGTCATATTCTGCTCCATTGCCTGGTCGTCCAGGTTTGTGTAAACTTGTTGAGACACTGCAAAGCCTTTCTTTAAGGGAACTTCAGACATCACCCCAACCAATCCATCTTTTCTTGCTGCTGTGGAAGGCCTCTCCTCCAAGGCATCCCTATCAATCCTTGTTGTCTGAGTTGGTTTGACTTCTGCAGGACGACACAAGGAAGGCGGGGGAATGTTCACATCATTTTGTTGTGAAGGAGCTCTTGAAGTACTAGCCTTTTTCTTAATTTCTGTAGTTGATGTGGAAACTGTGATAGAAGTGTCTGGAGCCAAATCAGTGGGTGATGAGGTGAGAGGTGTGTTGGGTGCAGAGGATAAAGAGGTGGACTGAGAAGAGGATGAAGTGATGGGCTGAGAAGAAGATGGTTGATCTTGGACCTTTGATTTCTGGGGAACAGTAGGTTGCACTGTGTTGGTATTCTGAGCCACTGATGCAGTGGTCTGAATACAGATTGGGGGCAAACACAAACTAGAATCAGAAGCAGAAGATACATGAGGGTCATTGGAAACTGCAGAGGTGACTGCAGTGGGTTTATTTTGTTTAGCAACAGAAGAAGCAGCAACTGGTAAGCTTTGCATTATGGTAGTTGTAGTAGTAACAGTTACCTGTTTAACCTGTGACACCAAAGGTTTGGTTACAGCAGAGCTGCTGTTAGAAACTGGAGTAATTTTAGTCTTGATTGCTAAAGTTGAGCCACTTGATGGCTTGATAGCTGTTTCACAGACGACCTTTGGTGCAGCTGAGTTACTCTGAGATGCACAGACAGAGCTTTTATCCTGCATCGGACAAAATACAACAGAGTTGCTGGATGAACTGCACACAATCATTTGCTGTGTGTTCTGACCTGATGCTACAGAGCATACTGCATCTCGGGACTCTGAAATTGTGGTGTCCATTGGGTGAACGTTTGCTGAGGACTGTAAAACTTGAGATGCTTTATCTTCAACTGCCTGGCTGTCTTTAGCAGTAGCAGATTTTTTGAGAGGAATTAGTTGTGCAGTCCTTAGCTCTTTCTTTGAGGGACATTTCGTCCTTTTAGCTACCACTCTCTTTGTGTTTACAACCATGTGGGGCTTTTTTCCTGAAGGCTTAGAGGTGCTGGAAGCTATCCCCGAAGGAACCTGTAGCTGCTGAGCAGGTAGAGCAGGTGAAGATCCAGGTACAGGTCCAGTGGGTGATGAGGTGACAGGTGTCGGGGTAAGAAGGCAACTGCTCTGGCAAGACCGAGGGAGGCCTTGAGATATGCTCTGGTTCAGACTGCTAAGGGCACCTAAAGTGTTGAGGGCCACATTAGTAGTGGGTTCCTCAGTGGTGGTGGGCTGTACCAGTTGGAGGGTGCTCTGACCGATCTGGGAGCTGCCTTTGTCAGAAGTTTTTACTGGCTTCAGAGCAAACACCTGGCCATTCACAGTGATTGTTTGTGGGGCTGTGGAGACTGGTGAAGAGGAGCATCCCTGGCTGACCTGCAGAGGATGGCTTACCTCAGGCTGGGTGGGACGAGGCAGGATATGCACGAGCTGCTTTCCCCCAACACTTTGTAAAGGAGGGACAGTCACTGAACTGGTTGTGGTCGGTGTTTGAGTGGAAACAGCAGGGAGCGAGGGAGGACCAATGCTCAGCTGGGAGCTCTGAGGAGCAGGCACAGCCTGACTGGGGGCTTGGATGATCACTATATGTTGACAAGGTGTTTGATTCGAAATGTCCTCTCTCACAACCTGCTGGGTGGGGCAGGCACTGGCCTGCTGCAGGATGACAACACTTGGATTGTTCGTGCTCTGAGGTGCAGTTACCCCAGGTGCTGCAGTGGTAGAACCAGCTGGGTTGACCTGCAGCACCTGCATAGTCTGCAGCAGGGGTAGCACAGCAGCTTGATGCTGAGGAACCAGGGTTTGCTGAGGCTGTGGAATGAGGGCTGTTGGAGGATGAGGAACCAACGACGCTGGCTGCAGAACTGCAGGCTGGGGCTGAGCAATCACAGCTGGCTGCGGTACTATGGCTGATTGGGGTACAACCGCACATTGAGGCTGTGTCCGGTTTAGAACAGCAGCTTGTAGCTGAGGGGTACTTTTGAATGAATTGGTTGGAATATGAGTTGTGATAGGTGCCTGCTGTAGAGGCAAATGTGGTTGCAGCTGGATTTGAACAGGATTAACAGAGGGTCTACTGCCCATAGGACATACTGTAACCTGTTGGACCGCTTGGGTGGTACTGCTGACCTCTGGCGCGGACAAACTCTGGCAAACTGGTTGGACTGTGTTTCCTGCCATCTGCAATGTTGTCCAGGTTGTCTGTGTGCTGCCTGCAGCTCCAGCTCTAAGAACAGTTTGATTGGCAGGAACTGCAGTATAGCTTACAGTTCTGATGGCAGTGTCCTGTGTCCCCAAAGAGGAACCTCCCGATGATGCAGAGGTTATGGTCTGGGTAGATGTAGTGCGTGTGGACACAGACTGCGCCGTGCTTTCGGTGGTATGTGGCGAGGCTGAATTAGCTACTAAGGGAATGCTCTGAGGCGGGGGATCAGGCTGCACCTGCTGGAGCAGGGATGTAGTGGCTGCAGGGATCTGGAGAGTTATGTAAGACACAGAAGGCGCCAAAGAAGGGCCTACAGCAGGTGTTTCAACCACACACTGCTCCAACATCCTCAGATTTGATTTTGACTGAGAGGGTGTTGTGGTTGAGCCTGGGAGCAGTGCAGGGGTGGTAGAAGTACTGACTTCTTCTATTGCATTAATTTGCAATCTGGCATCAGATGATGGCTGAATTGCTTCAGAGGACTTCTTTCCCAGGCTTGCCTGTTTCCCTGCAGGGCCGATCACATTGCCATTGGAATAAACAACAATTCTCTTTGGGAGCTGATGGGTAGGAGTCACTTTTGCCACTTTGGCACAGCGGTGCTTTCCCTTCCAGTGAATAGTTGGGTCTTCTAAAAGGCTAATATCATGAGCTTTGAGAAGCTCAATGTAGTGAGCGCTCTCCTTTCTCAGTTCATCCAACTGATGCCGCAGTCTCCGGATCTCTTCAGCTGCATAGAGGCAAAGCAGGTATTTGTATTTTTAGATAAATATTTAAGGAATTGACCAACATCAAGTGGAGCATAACTGTGCAGTGGTTTTCTTTTTCTTAATAGGTGCTACTTTTGGGGGCAGGACTGGATAAGCCATTGATTCTTTCTGCTTTCTCAAGATTGGGAGCTCTTTTACACAAGCCTCTGCTTCAACACACCAGAGTCAAATAATGAGGTCATTAGCAGGACTCTGGAGAATTTAACTGCATACTGAGGCAGTACTTCAGCCTCAGATATTTTGGACCAGAGATGCATCTAAAAGATGCCGGACACCGCCCCACATGCTACTTTAGAAACATGGCCGAATAAACTTATAGCTCTATCATTTTCATTATTATAATATATTGTTGGTATGCATAAAAACTTCAAGCGCAGCCTGTCACTTTGCTGTTGGTAGACTTGGTTGAGGGTTGCGGAATAAATACAAGATTCTTTTAAAGTTCATAAACATTTTTTTAAAAAAGTACAAACAAAAACCCTGACCTTGGACTTTATCACCACCGTCCAGAAGCAGTGTATCATTTTGTTTCTTCAGCTCAGTAATGTAGCGAAAAGCTTGGTCCAATATCATGTTCTTACTCTAAAAACAGAACATTGACATAAAATAAAACATACACATTGTACTAGATAGACACATGGATGATTGTATTTCAATAAAAAGCAGCTATTTACCTGTTTAAGTGCCTGAGAACACGGCAGAAGATTCCCAATGCGATTAATCCCCGCATTAATTTTCTCCTTTCTGTGTCTCTCAACTATATGCAGACACAAACAAAGAGAAAATACCTTTTATAATCCAGTTCAATTTTAGGTTTAAAAAGAAAAAAAAAAAAAACGGCCGACAACTCAAGTTGCAAAAGTAGCAGATATGATGTTACCTGCATTATGAGATTCTTTGTTTTTCTTCTTTCTGCAAAAAGTGAACAATTCATAATGCATTTAAAATATTTACAAAGATTATAGGTGGCCAACATAATTTTTGGTGCATTTGTTTCAAAGGAAAAAGAATAAATGAATATAAACATGTTTGGAGTAATTTCTTTCAAGTTAGACAAGGGGATACAGTGATCATCAGGATGAATATGAACTTGGGGTGCATTTGTACAAAGCAATCCCAGATCAGTCTGTACTTTGCCTTTAAAGTCATGACTCACTTCAATCAAGAGAAACAAATAAATAGGGCACAAAACAGAACTGAATGGACATTCGTTTAAATTTTATTCTGTTAATAAAGGACAAGCAGATATAGTCAATGGACTGACAGAAAAATGAATAAGCAATAAAACAACTTAAAAATTGTCAATGTTTTCCAGGAACACATTGACAATTTGAGGTGTTTTTTTTTTTACTTTTTGTTATCCTTTGCCATTAAAATATATCAAACACTGATATTGACATAACTGATTTAAGACATATCTTACGGTTTTAAATCAAATGATCAACAATTTGTTAAGCAACAAATGATCCAAACAATGGAGGATCATTTTCAATTAAAGGATTTAAGATGAACGTTTTCTTATATAAGGAAAGAAAAATGGGAGAAAAGAAAAACAGAATCAATGAGCAGTGCAATCTTTTTTTGTCAAAAAAAAGAGACAAAGAATGGGGAGCTTGTCTATTTAAGCAAAGCGTTTCCCATGCTTTGAATATACTTATTCTCTTTAAACTTAACATGTTCATATGTATATAAGCATACTCACTTGGGTTTTCGACCAGGTGTCTGAGTTTCAGTCATCTCTGGCATCCTGTTTTAACAGTTGCCTGAATGGTGAAAGGTACCAGTTAACGCATTCAACAACTGGACCTTAAGTCCGGTCTGTTCCCGTCCTGCACACAACACAAAAACGCTGTAATCAACAGCTACGTATGAACAACTATACTATGTTACATTTGGGCTTCCTCCAGAGCAACTGGATGCTAACATGCTAGTGCAGAGTAACCAAGCTTTATTGCAAACCTAAATGCTGTAACATTTAAACTTCTGCATAAAAACAGCTTATTTGATAAACTGTTCAAACAAATGTTCTACTTCAACATAATCATATCGACAACAGATGACGTTCAAACGTCAGTTTTGTCACTTAAACAGAAGCTATCAACCTGAGCATTTAAACTAGCTAGTTAGCCAACAGCTATCTTAGCTTACCGTTACCTAAATTATTGGACAAATTAAAAACGAAATAATTTACGTCCCATGTAACTAAGCGTCGCAAAACAAATGTAAATTCCACCAACCTCTAACTTCGGCATTGTGGTGAATATATGTTCCAGTAACAACTTAGACATTGGGAGCTAAGCTAGCAGAGTATTCAGCTCATCTCTCAAAACAATCTAGATACACCTAAATCCGTGCAGAAGAGGGTTGTACCTTCGAAACAGCCAATGGGATCGCGAGTGTAAGAAGTCTCAACCAATCACGAAACGGTAAGAAAAGCATCACTGTATGCGTTCGTGTCTAATGAGGCTCCATTAGTTTTCTAGGTACATGTAAAATGTGTACCTCCTCTATCTATCGAGAATCTATCCCAAGAATGTAAAGTTATATGATAAATACTACAAAAAAATTGTAGGCTAATAGAAATATATATATAAGGGGGAAATACTTTTTTCAAATTCCTATATTTTACAGTTGAAAACACCAAATTAAGACAATTATCTGAATTTAAATCGGACCAAACTTATCTTATCTCGGTCAGTTCACTTTATCAAAATTATTTCTACTAGCTAAATCCCATGTGAGATTTATTTATAAGTTTACGTATATTTGCAAACATCCTAGGTTTCCTTCCATAAGCTTCTCACAATAGTTTGTTGGATTCTAGCTCATTCCTCCAGACGGAACTGGTTTAACAGTCAAGTTTGGTTGTAGGCTGATATGCTCACACACAGGACAGATATCAGGACTTTGTTCCAGAACATGAAGTCTGTTCCCATTACACCACTTTGTTAACACTTTGTAACAACTTTGGTCATTGTCTATTTCGGAAACCCATATCAGCCCAAACTTTTACTTCCTGTCACCAAGTTTCTTTTAGATTTTTGAGTACATTTCTTCCAAACTGGAAGAAAAAAATTGACACTTCTGCAATGATCTGTAAATCGATCTGAGGTGCATCCAATTTGCAAAGCAAAGGAAATCAACCAGGCTGTGAAAAAAAACCTTTACTGCAAATAGTAATTCCTTTATTTAGACATTAAAAAGTCTTACAATATAGAGCTCCAGAAAAGATAAAATTCTTCAAAGAAAGCAAAAACATGCGTATACTACAGTCGAGAGAACAACTCTCCTTGCATGCAGAGGGTCAGAGCTTCTTCTGGGTTAAGAATCTATATCTGACCAAAACCTCCAGACCGTCATAAAAACTCATGAGGGCGCAATGACAAAAACTCCCCAAGTTTAAAGAAATCGCTGCCAAAGGTGTGTAAGAAATCAATATTTACCCACCTTAAGCAAATAAATTTACTAATGCCAAATCAAATCATTTAGTTAATTACTGATACATCTCCTAAAAGTCAATGACAGGGAATGTACCTATCAAAACCTCTCCAATACTGGAAATTCTTGTTTGGTTCCCCCCAAACTAAGCATTTCTAATTTTATGTTTTACACCCAGAGGAACCTCTGAGCCGTTTGCTGTGTAAGTGTAGAAAAAAAAAACTGTTTAGGGGAATTAAATTAAAAAACCTAGAGAATAAAGCTCTCTGGAAACCAAGAGTGGCGCCAACATTTTTCCACCACAACCAAACCATTCAGCCTCCCCTATGTCCATACTGAGGGGAAACATTTCTGCTCCTCCCATTTGGATGCATGAACAAACTGGTCTTGTTCACTTCCCATGAATCCCAGGGTTCAGGTAGCGAGAGAATTGTCTCATCTGCTCAACGGATCAGCTCCAGCTGATCAACTCCAAATTGACCAGCTAAGTGATGGTCTTGCAAAAACATTTTCACTGCTTCCTTTTTTCCAAAAATATAGATATGTCCCCATTAGGTTTGATAACCGCATAAAAAGAACTAAAACGCAAACAGAACAATTAGCAAACAGAACACCATCCCCGTCACCGTGTCTACTGATGTTCTGTGTTGGCATTTCATCATTGGAAACCAATTTGTGGTTAACAGAGTTTTCTGTCACTTTTCAAATAACCGCATGAAATAATGGGGAACAACAAAATATATATATATAAAAAAAAAAAAAAAATCACCTTTGCAAAATAAATGCAGCAATTTTTATACTGGAAAACTGCTTTCTCTTTCTAGCGTCCTTTTGAAGAAACTGTTGAATGTGTTGACCTTGGGGCATCTGTCACAGTTCTGTTTCTGCGTCGATGGGCACACACGCTTTTCTTTGTCCCCCCAAAAAAAGCTGTGTGCCCCTACTCTACTTTCTGAAGCTCCCCACTGGGTGGCGCACATGGACTGCGCAGGCTCTTCTGCAACACATGGGCATCTGCAGGTTCTATCCTCTTGTAGTAATTCTTTTTTGTTTCGATTATCTCAAAGCCAAATTTCTGATAGAAGTCGATAGCTGACTCATTGCTGATCTGCACATGACTGTGGAATGAGAAAGATACAGTTAGCACATCTGGAGGAATCTGTTTTTAATTACTCTTGAACCATTGTCAAAGGAGTAACACTTTAGACCAAATACAAGAAGAAGTAAAGATAGTCAAATTCCTTGTACATCTATCCTCAGTCAAAAACATTTAAATGTCAAACATCAAACACCCCCATTTTCTCCTGTATTTAGACACTTACAGGTAAATGTTGTCAAAAGTGCCATCCTTCTCGCAGATGTTTAGCACATGATTGAGCATCTTCGTACCTAATATAAAATCATAAGTCCAGATTCATAAAAAATGATGCAGAAAACCAAAATGAGTCACAACAGTATTTACACATGAATGGAGGTTCTCACCAATTCCAAGTCTACGGTAGGGTGCTAAACACCCAAGGGTCATGATATACAGCCTCTTCTGGTTCTGAGAGTGATCCACTCTGCAGCACACAGCCCCCACTGCAATGTCATTGAAGTATGCTGCAAGGCAAAAAATAACTAATGTTAACACCTAGCCTCGCATACATAATCTCTTATGATGCTTTAGGTATGACACTAAACAGAATGAAGTTAGAGGAATGCAGACATGTCTCAAAAATGTACATTTACAAAGTTTAATATTTTTTATCAGTCACTTCAAAAAATAAAACTCATTACACATGTTGAAATATTTGAAGTTTTTATTTCTTGCAATTTTGATGGTTGGGGCTTAAATATAATGAAAACCCAAAATTCAGTGTCAGAAATGTTTCAAATTGTGAAAAAGTTAAATAGAGAAAACTCATGACAGTAGTGATTTTAAGCTACTGCCTACTGCTTTCTAATCAGTTAATTAACTTAAATCCCCACAAAGGTTTGTTGAGTGTTTGAATGGTCTCTCACTCAGGAGTCAGTGGGGAATCATAGGGAAGACTGCTGACTGGACAGTCAAGCAGAGGACAACCACTGACACCCTCCACAAGAAGGGTAAGTACAAAATGCCTTTGTAGAACAAGATGGTTGTTCACAGTTTTCTGTATCCAAATATACTAATAGAAGGTTTAGTGAAAGGAAAAAGCGTTAATGAAAATTTTGCATCTTATTTGGGAATCAAGGTCCAAGATTCTGGTTGAAGAATGGAAAGACCCAGAATCCATTTTGCTCTACGTCCAGAGTGAATTTTCCCATCAGTGATGGTTTGGGGTGCTATATCATCTGCTGGTGTTTGTCCACTGGGTTTTCTAATGTCCACAGTCAACACAAAAGACTACCTGAAAAAATTTGAATGCACTTCATGCTTTCTTTTGCTGACAAGCTTTATGGAGAGGGTGATTTTAAGCTACTGCCTACTGACAACCTGCGGAGACATGTCTCACCTAGCTTTGCGAGCTCTCCAACTTCCAGCACATCTTTATAAAATTTGTCGTTGTAGCTGACAGGGAAGATGACTTGGTTCAGGCGTTTCAGCTGCTTAATGTTGTGAGGCGTAACATCCCCCAGCTCGATCCGGCTACTGGAACAAGAGCAAAACGGTCAAATAGCTGACAGAGGTAAATGTAGAAGAATTGTGTCTTATTTTCTTGCTAGATACTGTTGATCAAACCCACAAAAGACATAATTTGAAACATGATTAAGTAACTCAATTTATTTTCTTACTTCCTAAAGTATTCTGTTAACCCTCCCTGGCTGGACTCAATATGAATAATTTGAAAATACATATATGCTTACAAATATTTGTTGAGTATTTGATTTAAAACATACTAATAAAGAAGTAAAAAGAATGCCAAGAAAAAAAACGCGATCTGCAAACGTAAGTAATGTTGATAAAGTGTGTGTGGACAGAAAATTAAGAACTGTATAGCAAAATTGAAAAATGGACACATATGTTGTATTACTGGTGACAAATTACATCGAAAGTGAGTAGTTCTGATTTTTACAGTTACCTCTAACTAGTAGCTTCATTTAGAAACACATACATTAATTACATCAAGGTTTCAAAGTTTTCTTAATAAGAAGGAGACTCTAACCCAGAACTGTCTCTGTAAAGGTTCCACTGTAGTATTTATAGGACCTCTGCAAGCCCCGAAAAGGGCCTCGGATCACGTGTGTTATTCACAGGAATGTTCAATAACATTTATTTTATCCCGTCTTCCTAATTACCGAGGCTTAGAGTAATTTATACATGTGTCATTTGAAAATTTTGCCACAAATAGTTCAATTAAGAGCACCACAGTATGTGAGTGCAAACTTCATTCCTGTTACTTTGACAGATCGAGTTACACTAAAAAAGCTGAACTTCAGTTAACGTACTGGTGACTGTCCAACTAGAACACGCTTATAGTACAGTCTATACCGATAACTCGTTCGATGATTAGTCTGCTTTTATTAAGTAGAAGGACGCAGCAAACATAGAAAATCAGGATATCCCCGTCCTCTCTTTTTAGCTTAGCTTCGCTTTTGAGTCTTGCCTGACTCAGCCTCCCACTAGTAGCACCTAAATGGTTAGCTTAGCATATTAGCGGTGTGGACGAACAGAAAAGCGGCTTAAGATAAAAACAACCACAATAGAGCAGTTTCACTAGCTGTCTTGTCGCTCATATCCTCTCATACACTTGTCTAGATTCAGCTTAGTTGGCTAGTTTGCGTCGTCTTCCCCCATGCCCACCTCCCTTTTAAGAAAAAAAGACAGGCATGAAAAACTTTAGTCGCGCTAAGCTACATATTCGTGACTCAAAAAGCTTAGACTCACCCTTTCATTTTACACAGATATTATCCCTGTTTGAGAT